GCCACTCATATGTTCTTGTAATATGTATCTATTGAGCTCTAACTCACACACTTAGAATTCAGTGGCTTTGGCATATTTACAGAATTTTGAAATGAAATTGCCATTATGTAACATTAGAATACGTTCATCTCCTCCAAAAGAAACCCTGTGTTCATCAGCAGTCACTCCCAAACTCCTCCTCTTCTTCAGCCCTAGGAACTGCTAATCTTCTTTCCTAATCTTCTTTCCGTCTCTGGATTCACCTCCCCTGGACATTTCATATAAATAAAATCATACAATATGTAGCCTTTCGTTTCTGGCTTTTTCTTCTTAATGTTTTCAACATCTCTATTGTAGTATGAACCTTTTTGGTTTGTTTTGTTTAACTAAATCACCTTTCTCTAACTGCCTTGCTTCAAGACTTGTCTTTGAGCACAGTTAACTTCTGAATATCTTAAAAAACTAAAAGCAAGGGACCAGCAGATGGTATAATGGTTACATTGCTAGACTCCCACATAGGCGACCATGATTCAAGTCCCAGACCCTGTGGCTTAAAACTCACACTGGGTGCATGTATGTGTGTGTGTGCCCAAGATCCCGAGAGGAGACTGGAAGAGAAGGGTTGCGGTGTGGCCATCACATGCTACAGGGCATGTGCACTCTCTGAAAAAAAACTAAAAGCAAAAATGAAAAACACTACTGTATTAATCAGCTCTAGTTAGTCATAATGGAAGCATATTTATCATGTGCACAGATGTTTTTCTAGTGGTACATTTTAAGAAGAATCATAAATGTTGCCTTTTAATTTTAGCAACAGACTCTGTCTTTTGGTCACGTAAGGTGGTTTTTTCCTTGCATACTTATTGATATGATTTCTATCCCGAGAAGTATTGGAAAGTATCGAAGGACTACCTCGGAGTGTCCACGAATGACTTTTGTCTTTCTCTGTTCAAAGGTGAATTTTTATTTAACCTTTTAACAGCATCCCAATTTGACCACTACCATTAATTCTCAGGATTTTACTTTCATTCTTGATCACAATTCTTACTTTCATTAAAAATCTGTATAGCATTTTTTTTCTGTATAGCATTTTTAAAAGACAATTTTATTTCTGACAAGGTCAGTAAGTCTGCCAACCCTAATTTTAAAATAAGTCCCAATTAATACAAATTCTCTAGTAAGTAGGGGAGAGAGGGCAGGGAGTTGTACCTAGGTGGGAATAAAAAGAAGACGATAATTCCTTTCTAATGTCATAGGTTTGGTTATATATATATATATATA